TAATACTTTTAAATGACACACGGACATAAGTGTTCTGGCTGTACTAATATACACGCTAATGTTTTTATTCAAATAAACGCTATCTCCTTCGTTTGTTCTTTTAAATTATTGGTCGAGGCGTGTAATTGAACATTACGATAGTGTTATAACATTGCTTATAGCCATTCGACACCACGTTGGACTCTTAGCTTGAATTATTATTGAGTAATACTATCGGATATATCTTTCTCATCAAGCTGTTGAGCCCACTATGAACAGAGGACCTTTAGTTAATCAAGTGAACTCATTTGTGGTTTGTTATCTCAGATGTAGCTTACGAGTAACATTCATTTCATCACAATAGTTATGATTTTCATATTCAGTATACAAGTTTGTTGTCATCGTTTTGGTTTAATCATAAACATACACTTCGGTTTATAGTGTTAATATTTCTTGGTATATCATTAATAACATTGGTTACTGTTACATCCTGAATAAGTTCTTTTACTGAGATTCAGAACAAATCTGGCAAGTCCATACTTTCCGTTAAAACCATAATTTTGAGTTCATGTAGGGCAAGCGAAATGTCACTGAGCCCTAGTCAAATCACCCTTCAGTCGAGTCATTGAATATTGAACAGTTTGTCGATCCCCATCAAGACCAATCACAACCAACTCTCATCAGCTAATCGTACGCCATAGACTGGCCTGTGCGGTGGCGGTCACACTTTCGCTTGTACCTACTCTAACCAGTGTATTTCTGTAATAAATTCCTTCGTGTTATACAGTTTTCAGAACAGCAGTAGTGTCTTGATACGACGAAAGGGTAAACTTGGTTAAGTTCTGGCCATGAAGTGTGACTTTGAAGTTAGCTGTTGGTCACACCATTCCCGTCTAGTTCAAGTATGCCCCCTAATCATTCGATACAGTTATCTATTTTCACAACTGATCAAACATTGTTTCAGTAATTCTGCTAATATTTACTGTATATTTTGCAATGGCTTTTCCTGAATTAGACTTTATGTCCCAAACTTATAGAGACGGCGGACGAGCGAAACAGCCAGATTCAATGCATTAGATTCGATAAATGTTCCCTCGTTTAGCACACGTAACTTGAGTACCTGGATCACTCAACTTGAAACGCAATTTCATCAGCGAGGCATACCATCACAAGCTTCAAAATAATATTTGTCCTCGATATTCGGTCAATGGAAATATTAATAAAGGTCCCATACCTTACCGACAATATACCTTTTTCCAAAACGTACGATAAGTTGAAGCAATCAATTATACGGCGTATATCTGCGTCGGATGAATAGCGATTACAATAATTACTAGATGAATATGGGTTAGAGAACTGGTCACTGTCCAACTGTTAAAGCAGTTGCAGGAATACATCATATTATAAGTGAAAGTGATAACAATGAATGACCTGAATAGAGAGCCAGAAGCGTATTACCAGCTAGTTAACGATTACGAAGAATGTCAATTTCACGTTAGATTGAAATATTTTATGTGCTGCATTTCATGCACAGATTGCCATGAATATATGAGTCTCCAAAGCATTTGCTTCATTTTTAGCTCAGTTATTTGAAGATATCCGGTAGAGCAAAGTGACCAGGATTATTATCGTGTTCCAGTATTGGACTGTTGATTGTTTCATACTTTCCTTTTTCAAACGAAATAGGAGAATTTTTTCAAAACTTTTGAACTATGTATGGTGTTTTATAAGGATACGTAAACCCACTGACCAACAATACTGCACAAAGCTGACTAATTTCATACCACTAATATGAAGGTAATTTGTAGATGTGTGGTTACTAGAAGGATTCAACTGATTACATGAACTAGGCATCCCCGAAACAGGACAATTTATGCCAAATATAACTAAGTTAGCACACACACATGCAACGTAATTGGAACTCAAAATCAGGCAGTAAATCAAGTACAAAGGAATCCTTAGTTCATGCAAACACATAATGACGTTTCAGTCGGTCTGTCATCTTGGGGGTATATTGGCAAACAAATGCATTGCGAAAAATAGCTTCTAAAAATAAACAGTTCTGCAAGTCTTTGATATTGATGCCAATCTCATCAGTTTAACTCAGAGGCTAATAAATTATATGATTCTAAGTGATTTGCTGGCTTAACAGGAGAGACGATAGCTATTTCAATCAAACTTAGTCACTGGCTTCTATCGGGTTGCACGCACTGTGACCCCTAGAAAAACTGATTTTTTGGCCTGAGGCTATCAGGTAGTATTTCGTTCTACTCACAAATATGATAATCGATAATAACAGAAAAATGATCGATTTGCTTTCCTTTATTAATAGCTAAACCGATATTTGCTATCTTACTTACTTACGCCTGTTACTCCTAATGGAGCATAGGCCGCCGACCAGCATTTTCCAACCCACTCTGTCCTGGGCCTTCTTTTCTAGTTCCATCCAATTCTTGTTCATTTTTCTCATGTCTATCTCCATTTACCGGCGTAATGTGTTCTTTGGTCTTCCTCTTTTCCTTTGGCCTTCAGGATTCCAAGTGAGGGCTTGTCTTGTGACGCAGTTGGGTGCATTCCTCAATGTGTGCCGTATCCACTTCCAGCGCTTCTTCCTGATTTCTTCCTCCGCTGGGATCTGGTTTGTTCTTTCTCACAGTTGGTTGTTGTTAATAGTGTCCGGCCAACGGATTTGAAGTATTTTGCGTAGACAACTGATAATAAACACCTGTATCTTCTGGATGATGGCTTTCGTGGTTCTCCAGGTTTCTGCCCCATACAGTAGAACTGTCTTGACATTTGTATTGAAAATCCTGACCTTGGTGTTGGTTGACAGTTGTTTTGAGTTCCAGATGTTCTTTATTATTATTATTATTATTATTATTATTATTATTATTATTATTATTATTATTATTATTATTATTATTCACAAACATCTTATGGGTACATAAGTGTTGTGAAGAAACCATTTCGCGTTTCTTCAGAAAATGCAACAATACACAATTTTCAATAATGTCAGCATTATACTTGCCACATTTAAAAAAAATTTAGAATAACAATAGTAGAATATTAATAATAATAAATCGGGTCTTTGTAATTGAGAAGAATATTGAATTGAGTTTAAAGAAGGAAATGGAGAAAATAAGGGAATGGAAATAAAGTAGGCGTGAAATACGCAAACAGTGTAATAGGCGTGTTAATAAACACAGAACAAGAATAAACGACTATATGTGTATCGTTAAATTAGTAACAAAAAAATAATTTATCATTGTAGTAAGATATGACGCTAGAATAAATGTTTGTGCAGTGATGGTTTAGAGTGACGCTATGAAAGTCACAATTAAGTGAAAAGGATAATAAAATATCACCATGTATGAGTCATATATGCATAGTGAAGATAAAACAAGTGTGAGAAGTTGAATGTAAAACAAGTAATTGTTTTAATTACAAACTTCGTAATCTTAAGAATAATAGTTATTCAGAGGGAAAGAAGAGAAAGAAAAAAAGTGAACACCTAGTGAAAATGTTCATCCATGATAAGAATAATAATTGTGTAATGAATATCAACCTCAGAAGGAAACCAGCAATTGGAAAAAAATACTGCTGCTAGCTGGTTATTTACTGAAATCCGGTAGAAACTTAAGGATACTGCCCGACATACAGAATTCTGAGCGCAATCTCATCCGAAGCATTCCCAAAGAATCTCGCGAGAAGTTTTTCAGCGGAAGAAATTTTATTGTCAAAGTTGTACCGGAAAACACGATCCCCAGTCAAGCAAACTCTGATATTAGGGGATGGAAATTCATGAAGCAGACTTCGAGGCTGAAAAACATACTGACTCAACATGTGACGAGACTAGCCATGAAGGATGGTGATTCTAGACCCCTGCTAATGAGGATAACTTTCCAATCCTCACACATGGCGACTGCAACTCTGGAAGCATTTCGTGCCAACAGACGTTGGGTGCCAACTGAAATTCATATGCACCCGGATAGGCCACATGACGCCAGGATCAAGCGTAAAGGCAAGTTGGAGCTGACCATTCCACTTGTGGACTGTCTTGATAATAAAAAAACGTGTAGAGGACAGGGCCTACCTTATATAAATGAGCTACCTGTCCATTCACATGAATCCTATACAGACAAAATGGAAGAAGCTCGCGCGTTTCATAATGAAAGCATAAAATGCTTATAGATGAGCGCCGCAAGTCTACCAGCCGCCGGACGATTTGGCTAGGGCTAAGTGAAATTTCAGTGGCCTTACACTTTGACCCGCGACAGATCACCATCAGGTCAGCCGTGCAACCAACCAACTTGGATCAGACGATTTCCATCCTGGGACAACAATCCAAATATGACTTTGAACTTCGTTACTTCCGACTTTACGTTTGACTTATTTGATATTTTTCGGTCATAAGGCTGTTATGAATTAAGTTTCTTCAGAGAACTTTTCTGGGGAAATGCGTCAAAATTCACAAAATGTCCCCTGGTCAGCGATTTCCCCCCATGATTTCGAATTCTTTCGGGGAGATCACCGAAAACCCCAGTGATATTTTGGATTATCACTAATGTTCCACAGACTTTATTGAAATCTATGAATTTTCACATGACTTTAGAGAAAATCCCAAACTCCGGAGATTGGGAAATCCCGAATGTTTGCAGCATCTTTGTGTTTACCCGCAGAAAAATTTTAACTGATGCTAACTGAGATGGAAGATGTGCAAGAAGGAATATTACACACCCTAAATATCGCTGAGCAGTAAGTATGAGTTAAATCCAATTTCTGATACGACAGTCACAAATGAAATGCGATTTCTCAAGACGCAAAATATTCGTTTCATTTTCAAAGTTGTTTACAGACTTTCATCGTCGTCATCAACGCAGAAACTGTGCTAAAATAAACGGATTTGATTTTTCTGCTACTCACTGATCAAAAGTTAAGGTTTCAACAAAGTATCACCTTGAATTGTGTGCGTGCTTCAAAGTAAAATGTGCTTTGCGCGTTACAAGTGACTTCCTGGAGTTATGAACGCGTTAATGGATAATACCGTAAGAAGACATTTCAGATCTACCACTCTGGTTTTTTCAACCGAGTCTCTAAGCACTTACAATTTATTTTAGAGTTACCATAACGAAGCTAACAACTGCGGTATTGTAAGTGCCACTTCAACCTCTGAAGGTGCGTCCCACCAAATTTTTCATATTTGATTTCACCAACCGACTTCGGTTTTATGCTTGCGCAGCAAAGTTGAGTCTTATGTTTTATGCTCTCCCTGGTGGCGTCTTCTGAGGGTTCCGACACCTGTTTTGATAACTAAGCCACTTTAGCGAAGCTACTATGTTATCAGTGTTTCACTTTTTATCATGTATTTTCATTTTCTGTCGGCAAAATAGCTTGACTCATTTACTTCTGACTTTTGTAAGTAATAGAAATTGGTTAGTCTATGATGGTCGTTCACACTCATATGAGTTACAGCGAATTTTAAAATAGACTGATGCCATATATTCGTGTCAGTAGTTTCCATTATCTATTGTCACGCGCAGAAAATAAGCTTGTAAACTTGCTGAGTGTTGACTTCTCGAGGTTTCCAACCATATTTTAGTTTACCATCTCTAAATGATGAAAAAATGAAATGACACTAATAACAGTAGATTTATATCATAAAATTACATCGGTTTACTTCAAAACTTTCAATGGAGATCGAAGTTTTTATATTGCTTATAAAAAAGATCAAATATCTGCTTGAGTATTTGTTATAATCTTCTAAACACGTTGCAATACATGTTTCGTATGCAACCTATGGGTTTGCGTCTTTGTTTCCTTATTTCAACTAAAGTCGTTTGCGTTTTAGTTATGTGTTTTGGATCATTCTCATCTTTGCTCTTAACGCTCTTAAAATGCAACCACAAATCCCAGAAACTAGTGACCATTTTTGCTTCGTATTTGCGGTTTGAGGTCACTGTGGACAGTGACTTTCAAACGGCGGTAAGCAGTAAATAAATATGTGCATCTTTACTGTCTCACCCGTTGTCTATCTTGTTCTATTCGGCTCAAACTTTTTCTCAGAGGATCGTTCACGTAAATCAAGCCTATCAAATCTCAGTATAACAGGATTTAGACTGGGACTGTCAAGTGCAGCTCTATAATTTCGTTTCTTAAAACATATATATTATTAGCGACCCTAAATGTAACTCTTAAGTTGGGGGATTTGTTACTTTGTGTTTATTTGGATGTTCGTTTGACATAACAGATCTGTAAACTTAAATGTAACCCTCTGTAATGTATGAGAACATTGGACAGTTTTACTGGTGCGAAGTTATTTAGTTTTTTTTACCTTATGACCTTGTTTCCTCCTAATAGATGATCAGCTGAGTTTATGCTGTCTGTGTGGTCAAACGTTTCCAAGTATCAAGTCCCTTCATATGCACATTAATGTTGTACACGAAGGTAAGCTTATTTAGTAGATTCCAAATTTGGTTTGCTATCAACAGTTTAAAATAATGCTACAGCAAATATTTTCTGTCATAGGGTCTGTCAAAACTGTTTGACTTTCATGTATCGCTAATCAAATTACAATAAAGGTCTCTTGTTCTAAGTATTCAACTTATAAGTACTCATGTCCAAACCCTGCACCAACTATATTAATTTATATACCCAAGTGGCATCTGATAGATTTTTTTATTCTAGCATTTCGGTTTGATTACAGAGATAGTTCGTCCTGTTACTCGTTCTTATCCTCTTTATATTTGACCTCTACATATTTTGCCCATTAGCTTCCGACTCATAAAAAAACATTTTTCATTTTCACCGTGTTTAAACTGATAAGTTTTGTACCTGAAATGTAAAGCGAATTGTTGATTTTGTAGTATTTATAGTATGAATATGTATTTCACTTAATGTGTTCAACGTGTACCCATATATTTTAGTTCAGTCAATTTTAGTATCAATTTTAACTAGGTATTCTTAAGTCTACCTTAAAACTGCTTTTGAAATCCGGAAATTGCATTCTTATTCCTATTTAAGGATCTACGATTTTTGTCTCTACTAAGTCCAGCGTTTCTGTCAACATTTTCATAGGTCTATATAAACCATTTATCTGACTTCGATTATATATACGTAGTTGTTCTAGATAAACATATTGAGGGAAATAATAATCCTAGATTTGTTAAGAGAAAACTTAATGATCTCCAGCATTAATTTTGAATCTGTCACAAACTAGCTGGTACATCAAAGTAGTCTGTCTACAGATAATTCACTCAAATTCAAAGTTGTGGGCCGCGTTATTACAAGTATATTCCACCACCATTGCTAATTTTAAAGCTGACTCGGTTGTAATTGGTAGTGACGCAAGACACGATAAAATCTTACATTTGTATAAAATTTCACTAACTTTTGGAATGCTACAGACAGTAATATTCGCCATACATGTAGCGTATCAGAAATTAGCCCACTGGCGAGACAAGATGGAGGAAGATTGTGGAATTTTTCCATAACATTGAAACAACTAACAGGCGTTTATGTTATTTAAGGGGTAGTTACGGATTTTGAGTCCACTTATGCGGGTCGAGAAACCTGGTTTTCAAACTGGTAGCTCACATTAGCCCCAGTTTCTTGTTATAATTTGTGATGTACGTACATATTGTGGCCACAGATTATTCTGATGATACATCTTTCGACGTTGCTCTGTTCCTTTTTAGATCAGATAACTAGGTTTGAAACTACTTTATCCGACGTGCTAGAAGACCCAATATCTATAACCAAGGACTGACGACAGATACAATGTATTCGTCATTACCTTCTTTTCCCCAATGGGTCGTAGTGTATACGCCGTTCGGAATCAGTCTAATTATCAGTTAATTTTCAACAAGGCTCATTTGGTAGATATCAACACGAACTACCAACACAGATGCTCTAGTTGAGTGTTTAGGTCAAGTATTGAGCTTTTCAGCCAGCTAGTGTGAAGTCGATGTTCTCAAGGTGGACAATACAGACTATCTTTTGCTGTGACATGGAGTGTCGTTAGTTTTACTTAGTCCCGTTGGCCTAATCTCACGTTTACTTGCTCGGTGGTTTCACTAAACGGCAAGTGTTTCACTGACATACAAATTTGTACATCATTCTTTTTACCCAGATGTTGGAGCCATTTTATCAGTTACTTGAGAGTCAATTTCCGTAATTACTCTAGATTGGCTTAGAATTTAGTAATTTACCTCAACAATATATCCACTTTCATAGCTGCTTCATCACAAGTTGAGAGCGGAGAATGAGATCCCAGGTCTAGTTTGTATTATGAATCTCCGTTTACTTAGGGAAAGGATAGGGCGGCTAAACTAGTTATGGCATCAGTTAACGATGTTATTAAATATTGATCTAAGCCATGTGCGCACGACAACTGCAATTAGTGGCTGAATATGTTGGGTGTCACGGCTCAGGATCTTTTAAAGTGGTTTAAATGCATTCACTCCCTATCTTCGTTCTTGAATTCTATTATTCTTTCAGATACACCTTTCCATTATCTTTTCAAACTATATCATCAATTCTCGATCTTTGCTATTGTATTCTATCTCCTTTACTATTGATCTTATTATTTTCATCTCGTCATAGTTATATGGTTTAGCAACTTTGGCCAGCGTACATCTTATCAAACCTCTACTTTGGTTATAGCTAACCACGTTTATTCGCCGCTATTGAACATCATTTTATCTCCTAAAATCTCACTGGCTAATAGTTGACTACGTTAAGGAATGTCAAACTACTCATCAACTGTAACAAAACATTTGAGACCTTCATATTTAAAATTTCGATTAGACTATAGTATTTTACCATTCAATGAAGGCTTCTATTAGTGGTGTAAACGGTCGTCTAAGCGTATTTGTTTAGGTCTGCTGAGTAATAGCAGCTAGATACTTTGAAAGGAGTAGTTAAGGAACGAACACAAATCACAGTTTCATTCACTTCCTATCTTATGATATTTAAAGCTGTTATTACTCGCTATTTATTTCCCAAGATTACTTTATATCCTTCTTCCCTATTTCATTATCTTTTTAGACAAGGTACGTCAATTTAAATCGTATTATATTTTTGTGTAAGCCTCAGTGTCAGTATTTCTGCTTACCTTTGATGACCATTACAAATAATTTATGTTAAATTACAGTCTGAATTTAGTGCTAATCTAACCCATTTACGAGGTAAATGTCTTATATACAAGACTTTACACCTCACTTTGTGGACGCCATTGATATCACTCGGCTGTCCAAAAAAAGGTATTTAAAATGAGTTTCGAACTTAAGATCTATTAGTTGAAAGCTTAGTGCCTTCATCACTATGCAGCTACTACCTGTGTTTATTGAATAATCTAAATTTCTAGTCTAATTTTCCCATCAATGTAGAATATAAATTTATGCCAGGTAGAACGAATAAAATATAACGTTCCTTGGTTGGTATAAATCAAATAACCAACTTTATAGAAATACTAATTGTTTTCCCCTTTTATTCTTTTAGAAGTGGCGGACTCTTTTGATTTTCAGTTAACAGATGGTGAAAACGACGACTCTCATTCAGTAAGTTCAGACTATTGAGATGTTTTTGAATAGATTGTGAAAAAAATATACCACTTTCGTCTACTCTTAAAAAAGAACTGTAGATTTTACTATTTGTTATATGTCTTTAATGTAATCTCTTTTTAAATTTCACTGGACCAATATGGTGATTATCCGAATAAAAGTCCCTTAATAACTTGAGCAAAGCAAGAGTTCGAATCAAGTCTAATTTTATTAGTTTTGTAATAAATGTCATATACTGGGATATGTTATTCGTGAAATAACCGGACTCATGCGTATTTTATCTATTTATTTATTTATTTGAACACATAAGTATTGGTGCAAGAGGGCACCAAATATATATGCGCCACACTTTTGTGTGTGGGCTGTGATACTGCCCGGGTGCCCAGACCGAAACAGGTGGTTTTCTTAGGGGGCACACCCGAGCCTTTGACCTAAAGATCTGACCCACAAGGCAGTGGAGCATCGTGAGGAAATGCTTCCCATGGTAGCCGGCGACCAGCGATTGGTTCATACGCTTTTCGTCCTCTCATTTTCGTAAACAACACCCCGGCCACTGGAAAGCAGTATATAGGACTTCCCTAGCAGAGGCTGTATACGTGTGGCCGTAAATGAACAGTAGTCATCTCTCAGACTGGACGGCTAGATCAACGATAATTCACTGTGATATAATTTAATAAACATTCAACTCCCCAGTACCCACTCTCAACTTTAACAGGACATAGAAGTCAACCCCCCAACTCTTAACAAAGTAAAAGAAACTTTGATTAACTTTATTCAGGTGGGATTAATATATTGTGACGGGTTGATTTCTTAAGTTTGAGATCTAGGTGTAGTTCGCTGTCATCGGTTTCATATTTTTGTGCTGAGGTTGTAGAGACAGAAATTAGATCTAACGCGTCGTTTGTTTGCGTTTAATACTGAGTGAATTAGCATATAACTCAACTGCAGACAATAAAAGTAGCCAAAACCTTGAAGGTCGAGCTTAACACGTGCTGTATTGAACGGTCTATGGATATTTTTGCCAAAAAGTTAACCAGACATTGAAATTTACCCAACAAATGCTGGTCATCGCTCTCACCAATTGCTGCATTCGATGTTTTATACAGCCTAATGTTTTTAAGCCTCGTCTACCCATACTTCGTCTAGCTGTAGATCGAAAGTTTAATCACTAATTTATATTCTGAAGATAATAATTACAGAATTCACGCCAGTTTACAGGCATGATCAATAGTGTATTTTTTGGTTTCTACAGTAGTAATCGTCAATATTCCTATTAATTTGACTATCGGCTTATCATAAGAATGGCTGATTTTTCTGGACTTTTCGTGACACTATGGATTCTACCAGAAAAAAAAGGCCCTGTGTCCTATTTCTCTGCATTTACTGGGACAGTGGTTTTCGTAGAGGCATTGTTTAGTCAAATAATGTGCATCCTACCTCCAGTAAATAAATAGTGAGCCTTCCCCAACCCTTTAGTAGATTAGTTAAGCAATGCGGTGGATCCAAGAGACTTAAGATCAAGGTTACATAAACTGCGAAATCGCCTTACTTTCTAGATTGGGTCAAAGTAATATGCTCGACGTAATTTATCTATCGAAATTCTGCTGTGACATCAAAATTCGATCCATGGTCATTATCAAACTATTCACCAATATAGCGCTGATGGCAACAAATTTCGCAGATTGATAACATCAAATGAGATCAATAACTCGCCAAATGGCTTCCAAAGTTGCTCAATTCGATTAATCATATTGGTACACAATCTGACTAAACTCTTATTTTACCCATCTTACGCAACCATAGTTCATGGTGTCATTAGGTATGAAGTCTGCCATAAAACTGCTCACCGTGGTGGAGTCAGAGATAAACTAAGAAAGTAGTTTGTTTTCATTATGTAACTTTACTGGAATGCCGGAAACGTCATATAAAATCCCTGTTTCAGGAATTTTACGGGACAAATAATATTCTTACATGATATTGTCTTGCTATACCAAATTATACTAAATGATAACATCATTTTATTCAGTATGTTACAATCTTATTCTTCGCGTTCTTTATTTTTAGGTCACCTTAGGATCGCGGATCTCACTGTCATCTAGTAGTGAGGAATTTATATCCAGTAAGTAATGTTTTTACTCCCTTGGCAAACAGTCATAAGTTGTTTGTCCTGCTTTTCTTTATCATTCTAAAATACTTAGAAGATATTAAAATGAAAATAACTTCTTGTCACAGATAATCCTCGTTCTTAAGTTTTGCTTATTGGTTATGAATTTATAGAAGTAACCTAACAAGGCTTCACTCCTATTCTTACGCTGTTATTATCCGCAACATTTAGAATCCTGTGGAGTTTACAGTCAATTCTAGTGGGTTCATTTTGCTGTAAACTATGTTGAACTCTTCTCTTCATCATTTCTTGAGTTCTTTTTTGTGCTCAACTAACTTTATTGATTCAGTTCTTAAGAGTGATTGGTGTTTACGAATATGTTGTGAATTCTTGGAAAAATCACAAGTGTAATAATCAGTTTGTATTTCGTGTTTTTTTTTACCATAACACTATAAAACCATTAATACTAAATTGCCTTTTAAAGTCTTTCGCAACTGCAATTTAATTAGTACCGAATCTCCCATTCAACGGTGAAAGAATTTTGTTGTTTATATATTTTTTCAGGAAAATTCTTTCTTTGTTGTCGTGGACTTATTTGTACCCTACTTTGAATATTTATTAATATTACTCAAACATCAGATGTACAAAGTTATACACTCAGCATTGAAGTACACTTTGTGTATGGCTTATTGATTCTGCATGGGTTTCTAAACCACAATAGGTATATATATATATATATATATATATATATATATATATATATATATACCATTCTTTCCCAAACAATATTCTTCTTTACTGTTTAGAATTGTTAGAGCACGAACTGACAAACCTGTTAAGTCTTTAGATGGCTGAATACATATTTATGTATTGGTTTGTTCATAATCATTCTAATAATATCCTCTTTACTTTAACATTCAGAGCCTGAAACTCCAGTTGTTTGTCCGAATTGTAAAAAGCCGTTTCCTGGTCTCACAAGTTTGCGAGTTCATATAGATTCTGTTCATCATGGTGAGAGTTTATACAATTAATTGACTTATCTGTTTATTTTGAACATAAATAACTAGCGTATAAGTTAAAGAAAGTTCAAAATATTTGATTATAGTTTTCATTACAGACTAGATAACGTTAAAAAAAAAAGAAAACTTTCAAAGTAATATTCTATTGTAATTTGATACATTTCCACAATTCACTCTCAGTTTCTTCAAACTGCAATTAAGGTTATGACTATCAGGTTTGAATTGTTAATTTAACACTTCTTCTCCTGATAAACTCTTAGTAAAGTATTACATATTCAAATTATGAAACACCTAATTTATCTTGTAAATGATGTTAACTACTTATAATTACTATTACCGATTGACTGCCGGAAAAAATCTGGTTAACAAATAGTATACATATTAAGCGATTGAAAAAATATATACACTAAATATTTAATCAAGATAGTATGACTTGCCAGACAATAAATGATTAATCAATGCTAGAAATCAAGGTTATCAAAAAACTAATATTTTTGTAATTATATTTGAAAGTAGCTAATAATAAGATCCCAAGCGCCAACATGATGTAAAGTAGAAAAAGAATAAGTTGAAAACTTGGTCCATTTCAAAAAACCAGAACAACGATATACAGCAATAAGAACACTAAATTTTCATGAAAAACTAATTATCTTGGGTAAAAGTATATGAGCCTAAAAATAATTGTGACGAATTTCTAACCAGTTCTTAGTCAGTCAGAAAACAGCTTTTATAAATTAGTATTTTATGGAAAAGAAAACAATAATATTGCAAAGTGTAATATTTACTTATAAATCTATTAATGCTTCGACAGGTTCCCCTGTAAATCGAAGAAACAACAACGTATAAACTCGTCTTTATGGATAAAGATTGTCCATCTCAAACCCTTATAAGGACTCAAACAAATTTTTAATCGTCTCTATGTTGTTACTAGTTAGAGTTAGGTATTTAAGATTGAGGTTTTCATCCTGAACTGATATCAGCTACAATGTAAAATGCTCTGCAGCCATATTATTGAACTAATTCCGAGCGAGAATAAGATTTACGGACGACCTTTGAGCGATGCTAAAGTAACCTTAGGAAACTTCTCCTACTCACTAAAATCAGAAGATGGATTAAGATTTAGAGTTCGGTGTGAGAGTTTTCACCACGAACTGATCTCATCTGTAATGCTGAAATACTATTTAGCCATATCAATGAGTGGATTCCGCGCAAAAATCCAAGACTTGCTATTTTAAATCTCATTGGTTCGTATATATGTTGTAGTCTCACTGAATTTCGTTCATAGGCATAAGAGGCGCTATGTAGTTAGTTCATCCACAAGATGCGATGTCACCAATTTAAAGTTCGTTTCATGATTAAGCTTTTAGGGCTGAGGTTCAGAGATAGTGTCGACTTGTTATATACAAACTAAAGGGACAGAATTAGACATTTGATGAGTTTAATACTATCATTTTTACCACATAGTTGAAGAAAATAATTTTCCGATGTCATTTTAAACGTTTAGATCAGTGTACAAACGTATTTTTGCTGCTCTTCGTAAATGACGTTTGGATTTCGCGCAAAACGTAGAACGCATTCTCGATTCTGATTGGCTTGTCCCTAGAATATACTTTTGCCATATCTTCTTGATTCGTTTGTTAGCATCAAAATGTTAAGAACAAACTAATCACTGAACCCAAATTTAACCTTTCGCTGAACATGTAACTGATCGGATTCTATCCTGCTATTTGTAAAGTAAATACGTCACAAATAATAAAATCATATAGATCGTTTACCGACGAATGATCTTCTTTCTGTAGAGGTTAACTTATTTTGGTACTCATCCATTTAGTTTCTTATATAGTCTGTTTTAATTAAAAGTGATAAAATATCATTGAAGACCATCAACTGTTTGAAAAACTGAAAATGTTAAAATAATAATTGGGGATTTATTAAGAACAAATGCAATCGTTTCCCACAAAATCATTAATAATTCCTTGAGAGGTTTCTATAAGAGGCAACTATTTAAAGTACTTTACATTTTTCATCATTCAGAGTAGGGAGACTTTTTAAAATGAACACTAAACTAGAACTTTTGTCGAATACCTCACAGTGAAAGCATTGTACGTGTTTCTTCTCTGGGATATTTTTAGATCACGAATCTGATTCTGTTATCAATATCTATCTTTATATTCTATATTTAATTAATATTCTCAGAGATTTACTTCTAACTTAATAGATTTATGTGAACATTTATTATCCACTAGGTAATCGAATACCTCAATGTGATTATTGCATGAAAAAGTTCTCCACATTATCTTACCTTCGAATGCATATTTCTACTGTTCATGAAGGTTAGTTATCATTCGAAATATTGCTAATTGTTTGGTTATCCAAAAGCAAATATAAGAGCATAATAACTTGTTCCGATAATCTACAATAAGATGCAGATCAAGTACGTTTGAAGTATAAAACCAAAGCTTTTGTACGTGTCCAACTTACAATTAGGATGTACAATGATAATCAAAGCGACGTTTACATAAAATTATAACTAATAATCGTAGGAACACTACAGTTAACCTTTTGAACTTAAACTTAAACGTTTTACTTAACAAAAGTGTCTTTAAGCGAGATGTTAGACAATTTTTTACTCTCTCCACTCCTCTATTTATTATTGTGTCATCGCTAGATGTTTTTCAGTAAGTAGTTTAAAAATTGTTGTTTGTAGTAATTATCGTTTATCTAATATTTCTTGTTCAACGTAATAGTTTTGTGATAATTGCACACGCTTGTCTGTTTATACTCTTTGTCTATATCAGTCACTCATCCACAACAAAGGACTGGACACTTATATGTATTAGTTCAAGTTACCATACCTCATTAGCACAACATGATGAACACCGAATTCATAGAAGTAGTCGCTTCAATGTTAGTAATATGTAAAAGAAAGATTGTATATAAGGATATAGTACGGGAAAAAAGAATTAGTTGGTAGAAAGAAGGATATAAAGTAATTTTAATCTCACTGTTTGTGGGAAGACAAAGAGTGTATACATCCACACCATTGTGATCGATTCTGAGCCATGTCACCCAGAGTCTCCAACCATTGGTTAAGATAGTCACGCTAACCCCATCCAAATAATCTGCATCTGCTAACATGGTTCAGACCAGAAGTGAGCGACCTCATGGACTGATTTCACGTTTTGGTTTGGTCACCCTTCGATTTCTTCCAACCGTCTACAACACTACTCAGCATTGTGCCGTCGTGGTAATCGGTATTCAGGTATACGTAACACGTGGCCTAACCATCTCAGTCGATGAAGATTTACAACCTCATCCACTTGTGTACCATCATTTCCTAATACCCTGCGTCAAACATCACTTAAGGTATACTTGTCCCTTGATTGATAGACGGATATCTGGCCTTTGCCATATGTGACGTAAGTAGGTAAAAGCCAAACGAACTTTCTGAATCCGTGCAGAGCTTTCGTCATATACCAACCCATTAGTGCTGATCAGACTTCCAAGATGAGTCAAGTTATCGACGCGTTCGACTACTTCACCCCCTATCCTTAGTTCAGGTGTTGACGCAGGCCATTCGTGAAACAACAACTTGCATTTAGAGGGGGAGTAGTCTACTCGATATAATTCAGATAGTTAACACTTTTCATCGATTTATACACCAAAATACATAAAAATGAAATTCAATTTATTTCATCTATACTAATCGTTCTCTCACATCTCAATCTAGGTAATTAGTATCGTATGTTCAAAGTAAAGTTCGTGCGAAATCTTGCAAATAGATTAAAAATAAAAATAATCAGTTTTAGTTACAACTGTTGATCAATATTCATAAATACGTGTTACATTAAGTATTATCGTATTATTTTATATCGTAAAATCCAAGGTCACTGTGAGATTGGTTGTTATTATCGCATGTTTATGCATAACTTCATTTGTGAAAGTGTATGTTATCCTTTAATGCAGATTAGAGCTGTGGACGTTTTGTATATTTCACACTCTAGTATTGTCAATAGTAATTGCAGTAGTAGTAACCGTAGAAAGGTTCCCCTTTTGTTTATAAGATCCTCCTGACTTTTACATAAAAAATCACTCAAAGCTAGAAAGTAGGAATGCGTCGTGGGGAAATTTTCCACTGTTGCGTTTTTCTTGCTTGTTCATGTCATTCCTGTTTATTTGCATGCATGTTTTTGAGTGCGTAGGTACTTCTTTTTCATGTAACTACCTATGTTTTGTGGTTTAGACACGTGATTGGTACTTAAATTCGCAAATTAATATCTTGTTTAATTAAATCATACACAAAAAATCCTCATTGAGATCTCTCATAATATACGAATCACAGGGCTACTGACATATTCACATACTTGCTAAAAGATGCGTAACTATACGGATTGACAGTTTTCTACTCTGCAACTGTGATAGATAACTATATTAATATAGAAGTTCGAAAAAATACAATTATGGTAAAACACTCACTTATGAATTCAATGTGAAACAGTTCGTTTCATGTAACTTTTATACTAATTGTAAAATTCATTTCCATCACATTTATTAAACATTTCATAAACAATGCTTCATTCCGTAGTAGGAACTTCATTTTATTCCATAAACTACCCCTTTGTGATGTGAAGTGTAAATACGAACACCAATATTTTATAACGTTTAAAGTTTTTTAACCACTACAATCTACCTCAATGCTAAAAATAGATCTTATTATCCATCATATGTTTCAATCTCGTTTCAACTTAGTGTTGATTCAATATCAAAGTGAACCGCGGTAGTGAGTCTGCAGTAACAATTAGAGGAAATCAAGTGATGATATTGGTATATCGAACATACTTCCTTCAATGTAATAAGTCTATAAACCAAACTTGTTACCTTGACATTTGATTTTAATTGTCATAACTTGAAACCGTGACCAATATCGCTAGCTTTCAGGGTTTTTTCTCTGAAATGTTTCATAATCTCTCAGAGCATTTTCATTCATTTCGTAATCATTTAGTTTTGTGTTTATATTGTTTTAAAAATAGGTATTATCTTCCCCATATTTTTTACTTATTACTCAGGTGTCCGGGCATATTCTTGTAATATCTGTGAGAAGAGTTACACTCAAAAGCATTCTTTGAAAAAACATCTTAGAAATTCTCATTCAAGTATGTTTCTACGTCCACGTTATCTGTGTTGTTTAATTATAAAACCGTAAATAAATTAATAATTTCAATAAAATACAAGATTTTAAAAAATGAAGTATATTCCAAGAGCTGTGGGTTAATGATGCTACCTTATATCCTAAAATAAATTAAGTGGAGCGAGGCTCAAAATTGGGGATTAGTAGCTGAGAGTCGAACGCCCCAACCATTAAGCGACCGCTTAGTGGTACACAGTCATTTTACAAGCACATTTTACTACATCGGAAAAAATAAATTTCCGTTCCTAAAAAATAACATTTGAAATCGTCAACCGGTCTAAGTTAGACAACCACTTTAAACTTGGGAGCACTGGACAGTCATTTCGTCCTAGCATGGGATTACTCTCCAGTGCACATCCACGACCCCGAAACTGGAAATCAAACCCGAGACCTTTAGTTTCACGTGCGGACGCTTAACCTCTAAACCACAAAGTAAATATTCAACTATTTTCATGTCTAACTCCAATTAATCCATTATATTGTGTCACCATCTTCCATTGTGCTTTGTGTGTACCTTCCTCACACTCGACACGGTCGAACTCCGCTGGTCATATCTTCTCACTAAGACTTCAGAAATTTCCTCTCCAAGCTGTTTACTAGTAAGCGCATGGTAAATGTCAGTACGGGGTTGTGGAGATTGTTGAATTTCACCATAATCATGAGTTCGTGGGTGCATAATGCTGAGGAGTCTCATACTAAGAATAAACAGCTGTCTAGTACTTTCACGCTGTCAGTGGTTATGATTTCGATGAAATTTAACAACTTTTACAACCCTATACTGATAACTGCCTCTCTCTACGTAGCCCCAAATACGTAAGTATTTTATTAAATTATATCTATGCAAAAAGAGATTGATAAAGTTAGTACAGTGCTTAAATATAATAAATCTTGTTTTCATACAACCCATATTTCACGAATAATTTTGATTAACTAATGAACATCTCACATTTCGGTTGAAATTAAGAACATACTCAATAATTATCACATATTTTAAGTAGACTCTTTGAATTTGAATATAATAATCTCTGTATTCTTGTATGAAGAAACAGTTGATTAGTCAAGTATTATCAAACAATTTAGCGTGTTCTTTGACCATATTTTTGCCTTCACCTCTATAAAAGGCTTATTGCATGTCGTCTGGACACTATAATTTATGCTTCAGAAATTTTTGTAATTTATAATATCTATCAACGATGACCCATACATTTTATTTTTTCTATTAAGTCTCATCCAGTCAAGACATACCAGATGATTCAGGATCAACTAATGGGGTACCGAATAAATCTAGTCAGTCTGCATGTTCCAATGAAATGCGTACCTTTAAATCACGTAAAAGGTTACTCGTTGATTCTCCAATCATACCTAATTCCTGTAGTCCTAGTCCATCTAGGTCTAATGAAGTAAGTGCCTACTTCAGTGATATGATTCAAATGCACCACTGACTTTCCCAATGTTCTTTTATGTGCAAATCACCTATCTTTATTTACCGGTGTTCTATCCAAATCACTTTTAGTTTAGGAATATTATCATTTTTTGTATCTTAACCAATTTTCTTTGGGTTACTCAAACGTGCCACTTTTTGTAGCACAGAAATATTTGTTCCATGATTATTCATGAGTGCCAGATTTATAGTTAATCTTCTTATATTAATTATTTACTGTTAACAATAAAATTAGGAAATTCATTTCTTAAATAGGTTTGTTCAAGTATATTGACAGGAAAATACGTTGCTACTGAATAGAAAAGCTACCAAACCTTATGAAGGTTTTAAGTGGCTACTTCAAAATGTACGATTTCTACTCAGTTGTAATGTAAATTTATACACCAGGTTTTAACCAGATTTATTATGTAAAGGTTTAGTGATACTGTGATGTATGCTACATATGTATATTGACATAAGTAGTATGTAGCACCAATCGGAAGTGGAAAACCTTGCAGCAGAAGGCTATGAAGGTTGACTAAAAGGAAACAGAAACGGAATTAGGAAGAAATCGCTAGTCGGAAGAATCATCCAAAATGTGAAAGACAAATGATGGAAATTTGCAAATGAAGTATTTCGTGTATGATTCTCATATTCTACCACGATACTCTGTAGTATATATATATATATATATATATATATATATATATATATATATATATAATATTTAGCTACTAGAAGTTTATTTTGTCGTATAACATTCTTGAAACCCTTATTACGTGAATTCACTTCACCTTACTAATTGCTCCATTTCCATATTATATGACAGTTACATAATACTATTTACAATAACTTTTCTTAATGAGTTTATATTACCTGTAATCAAAGGATTCTCATCGAAGTTTACCATACTGTGAATCTTAGGTGGACGGTCCTGTTCCATTGGAAACTAAGAATCGCCAAATCAGTTGATGACATAAATGTAAGTCACAATGAGTTTCTTATATTCCTTGATGTTACTTTTGAACAACATTAAATAAAACTGTTGTGATACGTGGTGTTATTTAATACAATTACAGTTAATCAAATTTATACGCAATTTTTATATATGGTTTAGGATAATGGCCCCATTTTCACAGAAATTACAACTAATAATTACATGATTTTAGAGGTTTCTCAATTTCAATAAATGCATCTTGAGCAACGTCACAATAAATCACTTCATCTCAATGGAATTTTCTAGTATTTCAAGTCACCTAAATTTATATCAGACAACTACATAATCTACTTACCTAACGTTTAACAACAAATGAAGTGCATAACTGTAACTTGTTACTTAACCTTGTTAATAATTTCTTGACTGCTACGTATTTATGAGTATTTTGACAAATTATGTCTCTAATTCGCCTAATTTATGATATGCTCTTCATATAAGGTTATTGCTGCAGCCTTATCTTGTAAACTTATATGTTTTGTGTCATCATAGTTTTCCATCAATTCAATGATAAATTACATAGTTTTCTGTACTGTATATGGATCAATTGATATATTTTGGGTTTTTCTTTTCCCTAGACATTCGATTAACAGATATTCCTTCGGATAAAACTTTCGTGCAACTTTTTTGTATTTAGACGCACAAATAACCATGAACCTCCCAATCTTCAAGCAGAGTATTTTTATGTCTACCTCATCAATTAAACTGACACCTACCTCAGTTTATATGGTCTCCATTATTGCATTTATGTAGTTCAAATGATAACTTTGCATACCAAAAACCGGTTCGCTGCAGATTTTTTTGAGTTTTTGAAATTTGGTTTTCAAACAATTGACTATTAACACATTCTTTGTATTATGTACAATACTTTTGCTATCTGAACACTGTTCTTTAAGCTATTTTCGGACCAAATCTTATATTCATCTGTATTCACGATCTCATCTAATGTTGAATTTTTTGCAAATATTTTTGGACTTTGTCTTATTTCTCAATGCTTTGTGACGGTTGATATATATATATATATTACAGTAGTAATCCTGTGACTGAAAATCTCAGAGCTGTTTAGTCTTCTTTTCGCTCTAGTTTTTTGTGGTACGTTTTTCAGAAGAAGAGTTTCAATATATGTGCTCTCACCGCCTTTTTCATGTTTATGATGTGAAGATTTGGTCTACATGGTAGCATTTACGTTAGTAGATGTCAGTCTGAAAAAGTGAGTATGAGACACATACGAAACAGTAATATAAAGTGCAAGAAAACGAATAGTTTGAAATCACAATAATCCTTATATCATCGATTAGTTACTAAATAAAATGAGTTTATGCTAGGGTAAGGCGAAATCGAAATGTGGGGGGAATTCGAGTTAGAATAAAAACATGTTTGACCAAAAGTAGGCGAATAAGCATGGCTCTTTTTTTCTAATTTTATTGAATTCACGAGTCAATTGATGCTAGACTACCATGGAAAACCTCGAAGCACTGAACGGCCGTTTCGTCATAGTATAGGACTTCTCAACAGTGCACATTCACGAATCCGCCCCGCGAGATTCGAACCCAGGACCTATCAGTCTCGCGCACGAACGCCTAACCTCTAGACCACTAAGCCGGTATCCAACCGTGTTAATGTCTAACTTCAACTAATCCACGAAAATGAGCCACCGTTCACCATTGTCTTTAGTGAGTTACTACCTCACAACAGGTTTGAATAATTTTTTTCTGGTTAGCGCGTTTCTAGCGAGTTAGTTTTTTACGGGATGGGGACGCTAACCCCATGCCCAACCCTCCTCCTTTATCTGGGCTTGGGACCGGCAGTAGCCCCCGGAGGGACTCCAGGCGGAGTTAAAAAAAATATAGAATGCTTCACGATTTTGCGTGTCATCCTTGCGCAGCAATCATCCAGAAAATACATGTGTTTATTATCAGTTGTCTACGCAAAATACTTCAAATCCGTTGGCCGGACACTATTAGCAACAACCAACTGTGGGAAAGAACAAACCAGATCCCAGCAGAGGAAGAAGCGCTGGAAGTGGATAGGACACACATTGAGGAAAGCACCCAACTGCGTCACAAGACAAGCCCTCACATGGAATCCTGAAGGCCAAAGGAGGAGAGGAAGACCAAAGAACACATTACGCCGGGAAATGGAGATAGACAAGAGAAAAATGAACAAGAATTGGATGGAACTAGAAAAAAAGGCCCAGGACAGAGTGGGTTGGAGAATGCTGGTCGGTGGCCTATGCTCCATTAAGAGTAACAGGCGTAAATAAGTAAGTAACCTCACAACAGACCCATTTTACTATCGAAAGCTTGTTCTACAGTCCAGAATAACGCATAATAAAGACATCTGAACCCCACTTGTGTAGGTTCTTTAAACCGAAACAAAAACCTTTTGTTCTTATGACAAGGTTTCGAATATTGGAAAGAGCTCCATACCAAATTACATAAACAGATGAAGGGAACCATTTTTATATGCTCAAACCAGATAAGGTCTATTCCTTACTTTGTATACCTAAAATATTAGCTATTAAAACTGCTTCCGTATCTCCTATAATCTCGAAAAGTAATGTAGATACCGCTCCACATTTTCGAAGTTTGTCGATCTTGCGCAACGTGAAACTTGGCACAAATATGCATCATTTCATGTTGCCTATGTGCACCATCGGTTTGGAATTAGGGTTTTCCAACTCTCCTAGGTGGATACTCCATATCCACCAACCCGGTTAAAGCGCCAGACATTCGCTTTTCGTCCTCTCAATTTCGTAAATAACACCCACTGCGAGAAGGTAGTGAGTAGGACTTCCCTGGCAGAGGCTGTATACGCGTAGACATGTGAGAGCATTTAGGGGCTGCACTTAACCTTATTCTAAGCCATCACTGCACGAACAAACACCACCTGTGGAAGTAGTTAGGTACGTATAGTACATCCTAACCACGTCAGTCAATAATGATTCACGACCTCATCAACCTATGTCATCTCTACCTATTACCTTCTGCCTAACCTCAATTTGTCGTTCCACAATATTCAAGTAATTCAGGCTACACGTCTTATACTTTCAAAAATCGTAGAATAATTCAAAATAGGCTGCTCCTCGGTATACACTTACATCGACAAAAGTATATCTCTACTACACAAGTGATGTAAATTAAGAAAAAGGCAGATCGAATTTTCCTGAATCCATGACGAAATCTCGTCATATCGACTCATCTGGTTTGATTAAACTTCCAAAATCGACTAGTGTACTCTTTATCACTAGTTCGGAAATTTAGATAAACAGCAACTGAAGTAATATCTTACATTTAGAGCGATAATAACATTGTTGCTCAGCGTAATCGAAATAGTGCAACATGGCGTATTAATCAAACAGGACTATATCACCTGTGTATTCTAATTCAACAAGTAAACCTGGAAAATCAGTCCTTGAAACGAGAATTTCGCTTTTCGAGGCGATCTTTAAATACGTTCAGTAAAAGTGCACTTATTAGACGAACCTGAATTGAGGTTGATAGTTCTTCATAAACTCTGACTCAACGCCATTAGGGGTTTGGAAGGCTTGTGTTGACTTTCCTTACAACTCGCTTGGTAAAAGTAAGGAACTGAAGGGTGGCTGTAGAGCATTTAAACTTTAACGTCTGGTCTTAAGTATATTTGTGTTTTGCATGAAGATAGCTTGTGTGAGGTACAGCGTGTTTGAGAATCTGAAGAAGGGAAAGTTAGCTTATGACTCACATTTAATGATGAAAATAATAGAAAGTAGTCGGCGTTAACAAACGAAATAAGAATTTGTCAGTATCAGATTTGAAATATACTAAACTGGTCTTCAGCATGTTACTATAATTACTTTGATCATTTGGCTGAGAGTGGATCATTCGTCGTTTACCAGAAATCATCCGACTAACTGCTGCATTTTCGATGTTTGTTTCTTTGGAGAAATGTCAAGGATTTTCCTTTTGAAAATCATGCGGTATACTAAGGAGATTTTTTTGGATTATATCTACGTTATGTCCTTTATTAAAGCGTTTACTGGAAGATAAGGATTACGATGGGAACTATTAATAATCGGGCCTTGCAAACATTACATCCTTAGTAATAATAAGATTTTTACATAAGTTCATCTGATGTAACTAGTTATTGCTAAGTAACTCATTAATAGTTAAACAGGCATTCAATGAGGTGTCAGTACTCATATATATGTTGGGGGCGTTCTGTCCTCTGAGCCGATTTATTCTGTTGTGAAGCTTCAAATCTTGATTTAAATGGCTGTGGATGAATTAACTAAACGTTTCGTCCCGAATGCTCCCGGTGTTTCCAGGTATACTTCATAAACAGAAAAAATTTAGTAATTTATAATGAAGCATTGTCCCAATTCCTTGAAGGTAAGTTAAGTCCCTTCTTTAAGGACTCCAGGTATGGTACTTGAATCACTTCAGTCGGTAGCAAAACCCAAGACTTTACTACTCCCAACGAATAGGGGTATTTACAGTATAGTTTTGTGCTGCATCTTTAATTTATAGATAATAATAATAATGGTAAATTTCAATCACTTGGTAATCGTATTGTAATCCTCCTGCACGTTTTTTGGTTGTATTAATATATTTGTTCTCCCAACAACTCTCGCTCACCTCTTGCTTTGTCCAGCAACATTTGGTCTTCTCACGACCTCATCATGAGTTAATTAAGCACAAACAAGCATAGACATTGTCGTTAATAGATGCCCATAGGCAAGATAAACCATATCACGGATTTCCTGGGAATTTACAGGTTTCCTGACTTTTTCTGCGATATTATTTTATTGGCTGCAGAAAGTGGACATAAACGCGTTGATAAATGAACGAATCGCATCAAAACAAGTAGATGGGTTAGGTTATTGGCTCATAACTAGGCTTTTAAGATCTTCACCCAGTATGAAATATCTTTTTTAGACACATTTTTTGTCTTTTTAATAAAGAAAGCATATGTTAATCAATTGGATAAAGTAATTTATGGCTTGGCGCCAAGGAAAACATGAACACGGTTGGATAGAAGTATATGTCTTGAGTCAAAATATATACAATTTTACAAGCTTTTAAATATCCCTCAACTATTTATCTCAAGCAACTTGAACTAGCCGAAATCGTGCAACCACCCATAATGTGCAGTATGATGTGGAAGTTTTAACTTCTATTGATCAGTGAAGTTGCTCCATCCTGATAAGGTTTTTACCTCTACTTCCTC